GGACTTTATCTCGAGAACAAAAACGTCATCCGGAATGAATTCCAGTCTCCTCAATAAAAAGGTAACTCATCCACTTAATTAATCAGCAATTGGAGCTCATTCATCTAGTGAGAGCAAAACTTATTGATTAGCAGAATTGTGCGTTGTTTATGGAAGTAACGAATTGAGTGAATTTGTCTAGTAACTTGTTCATTAGAATAAAAAAGGAAATGAGAGAACCCCAATTTAGAATACTAAAATACCCATCCTAGTGAACTGAGAAAATCATGGAGGGTTCCTTGCACGACATCAACCGCATTACTACGATACTCCCGTCTGTCATCATCACCATTTATTATCGCTTCTAAACCAATGGACACCCATGCCTCTTCAAGATCCTTCAAAGGTTCATCCGAAACTGTAACCAACAATCTTAGACTCTTCGACATCTCCTACTAAACACCAAACTGCTTGTACAGCTTGGATAAGCGAATAAATCCAACCCTTTCGATCCACAGAATTGCGGCCTAGGATATCTGCCGTCATGCATGTTTGCTGGAATCGGTCCAAAGGAATCCAAATCAAATAGAACGACATAATATTCATCTGTGTCACCTTTCTGCTGAATGCATAAATTGTCAAGCGCTGGCCGTAAATCCAGATACGTCCAATCCCACACCGCTGACTTTACTAAAACCTTGACAAATTCCCAATATTGCTGCCAGTACAACACAAGGTTTTCCCTGTCGAATTTGATTGGTTGCTCAATGTAATCCATGACGAAAACATCACATTGATCACTAACATGCCAAATTCCGATCAAACATTTAGCAAGTAACTTTTTCAAATCAGGCGGACTAACACCCCATTTCCCGATAATATGTTGTACAGGACCCCCAATTCTGCTGATTAAGGGGGATATAACTTTCAACAATAGTGCCGTATCAAGGGCTCTGTCCTTGACAAAGGCTTCGTCTATCACCTCCCTAGGGTTAATGAGATTTTGTGCTGATGGAATTGTTGGTACCCACAAAACTGTTGAGTCTGATACTGTTGGTAGATGCAACAGACCAACAGGTTGAAAATACGTGAAGCATTCAGGATCAACTCCACAAAAGAGACGATCCAAATACTGAACTTCGATTTTGAGGAAACATGCTTGGGTGACTGCAATACTCCTGTTGGCGGCTAACGATAACTGAACGGGTGATGCAAAGTACTCCAAACTAGGAATATCTCGCGGTAACTGCCCGATTAAAGGGGATTGCTTTCATCGGCGTTTTCTTCCACTTCTCTTCCACAAATTTGCGAATACAACCCATTCCATAAGCAAAGACTCTGAACAATGCTTGCAAAACACGATCAAAACCAGTTAGCAATCCTCTACCATCCGGCGAATAGGAAAAAATACGTGATCCAAATGCTGGTACATCCAGACAAACTTCAAATGCTTTAGGCTCTCGCCCGCAATATAAAATCAAAGAATACATACTATCGTCTGAGCCACAGCGCTCGACTCTGGAGGGATACTCCATTTCCATAACATAGATAAGACACTGATGCACCGCGGAAGGCGTATCGCGGAGGTCGGACAACTTCTTTTGTCTCTCCTTGTGATCCGTCAACATTTTAAGTTCTACAATAGAGAAAACACCGAAGATATTCCACTCGTCGTCGGTGCGAACTTCCAAACACAGGCTGATGGCAGACCGGCTTGTTTGAGCTGCTGTTCCAGTGACAAATCGACGTCTTGATTCTCCACCACCGAATCGAAGCTGTTCTGCTCGAACCTCTTTTCGCAAATTGCATCTCATGTTTCGGCACTTCCAAATAACAGTTCCGTCGTCATCTGGGATCTCTACTGCTATTGGAGGGTCCAAAGTAGGCATGTCGAATGTGGGAATAAGGTCAGTCCATCGTCTTAATACACGTGGCAACAACTCAAGCAACGTACTTTGGATGTTAATCTGCCCTTCTTCTCTGAATGCTTCTACAAACAACCGTCGACAAACGAGACGTCTATCTGTTGGGAGCACAATTTTTTGTGTACGAGCCGCGTTTTCTATTTCAACACCAAGTTTGTTTATTACGTCCTTTGCATTCACAAGATTCGATGGGACTGTTGTCGCTGGTCTTCGGCACCTCGAAGGAAGCAATTCTCCAAATGTTATAGCGTCCTCTGAAAACATTGAATGAATGGACTAGAACTTGAATTTAAACAAAATATGAAGGAACTTTTGGAAAAAGGGGGAGAGTTATGACAAAAAGGAATACAAGTATGGGGACAAAGGTACGAGCTCAAAAATCCTTCGAGGTCCTTTTAAACCAACTTGGTAGTGCTGAAAACACTTTTACACAAAGTATGCAATCTGAGATCTTTGCGCCTCAAGCAAGTATCGAAAAATTTGTTAAAGAGTTGGACACAGAGAACCAACATTGTCTCTACAAGCACGGGCACTTGGCCAATCGTAATCTCAACGATCTAAGCAAGAGCTCGAAATCCTTCAAGACTGCATCTTGCAACTGGCACACTCAAAAATTGAGCAAATCCAACTCATCGTTTTCTTCAAAGTCTTTTCAAAGTCATTTCAAGACAGACTCCCACACACCCTCCATTTCACCGCCAAACTCGGACTCAAGCGACAGTGACGCTTCATCCGACTCCACATCTCCAATGTCCCGCGCAAAGACCGTCGTGCACAAATTTCAAAGAATGGGAATGATTTTTTGAAGCAGAGTGTTTATTCATTCATTCTGAAGTTTTCGGACGTTCGAAGAAGGAAAATGGACCAACATTCCCAGCCCATACAAAACCAGGCATGCGAACAAAGCGATGGGTCTCATTCGACAAACTGTCATCCCAGGATTCTTCTCCTACTTCACCCGTTTCACAACACCATACGAACAACTCCATGCACTACTGCAACACTTGCAAAACATTCCGGGTCGACACACAATGCTGATGAAAGAATTATTCGAATTCCAGATGAATGGTTCTGATATTCGTTCCCATTTGGCGCGCCACAATCTTCTCTGGGAAGAAATCGTGTCTCTGAAGCCAACAGATCCTGAGTACCGGATAAGCACGCTCATCAACTCCCTCAAAGCAAACTACAAACCATTTGCAATGGCACTACAAGGGCGAAGACTGGAAAATTACGAGAAGTAGAATCTGCAATTGCAGAATGGCTGATATCAGATGACATGGACAAGAGTGGCAATGCCTTTTTCGCCTCCAACACCCACACCATGAATCGACGTGCACCAGAACGTGGCCAACATTTCAACAGACAAAGTTTTAACCCCCCTTTCAGTCAACCGCGACGACAACAAAACATACCACAACTACCACAACTAGGCCCCTACAAATGGTACCATCGTCACAAAGATTGCTTCCACCACCCTTTTCTCAACAACAATAGCAAAACCACCAATAAGCCAAAATATCGAAGGGAAGCCAACACATCACAGTCCTCGACCGATTTCTCAACGTCACAACCATTGAACGACACAACTCTCATCTTCCACAGCTCTCGCAACTACTTCCACACAACCAGACCATCCACTCACACATATCTCCACACGTTTGACGCTTCTAGTGAAGACTCCACGACAGAAGAAGACCCTGAAATCAATCCCACTTCCCAAGCACATTTCTCATCCAACCATGGTGCATCCAACAACCTAACCAATTTTCTCATCGACTCTGGCGCAACGGACCACATGATCAACGACAACACGGTTCTTCACAACACAAGACCATCTCAACTTTACATCACCGTAGGCAACGGAAATGTCTTAAAGCCTGCTCAAATGAAAGCGACCCTGCATCCAACGCCGATGCAATGGACATCAATCGCGCGATGGCATGCTTCGTTCACCCCATTCCCTTGTGGATAAGAGGTCGACGCTTTGACCAAATAGGCCCCTAAATCTTCAATGACAAACTTTTGGAATTCTCGGCTGGTGAAGCAAGACCCCCGATCAGTGCAGGCCGGAGTAGTACTTGTGGGTGGGAGTGTTGGTGCGATTTCTTCGATGCGGCTTGCTAGTCAGAGTGTTTGCTGGTGGAAACTGCTGTGGTTGTTTGCGATGAATGTTAGGAATTTTTTTTTTCTATCGTTGACTGGACCGACTCGTGATATTGGGTCAATCGGACTTGAGCTGTTGGGAAGTCTGCACACACGCACAGAAGCAGCTCAAATCCAGTACGAACATCATGGTCTCCTATCCGAGAAGACCCAAGTGTTCGCATCCAGCGCCGCTCCATGGACTCTTGTGAAAACTGGCGCAACGCTTCTTTCTTTCGCGCAGGTCCAAAATGAGCTGTGTATTCGTCACTCTCTTTCACCGACCTTTATTTCAGGAAGTTTCGATACTTTGGGTGATGGTGAACCCCAGGACCTGCTCGGGATGTGAAAGGTTGCGTGCACTTAGTTGCAAACTGCACAAGATTCTTGTCCGTGTGTCTCAACAGCGTGCCTCATGTTACTATATGCAGTATTCAGGCAATGGAAACAGTTCGCCAGCTTTTGATACCTTGACGTAGCCTTCATGCCCATCCTTACCCCCATCAATTCCTTCATGTCCCAATTCCTTTTTTTTGAACCAGTGATGTCTTGGGCGTCACTCTTCCCGATTCCTCCATTGTTATATTACATATTTGCCTTCATCATTATTTATTTCACTCTTAATTTTATGATGTATGTGTTCCAAGCACTGAAGAGAGTTTTTTGCTATCTTGTCATTGTGATTGGAGGAACAACCGTGATCATTCTCTGTTACCTTGCACATGTGTTCATCCCACCTATCTGCGAAGCACTTTACACTTACGTAACAACACTCTTCGCAAACACCCATAGTAGTTTCCGCCAACAAGCACTCGAACTAGCAAGCTGCATCGTCGAAATCACACCAACACTCCCACCTGCGAGCACTACTCCGGCCTTCACCTTATTTTCTTCTTTCGGGATCATTGCCACAGTGGCCTTACTGTGTACGGCTGCAAAGAACCTCCCAGGATGGGTTCTGGTAGTTCACCGTCCGGAAGACGCCATTCAAACAATTCTTCTTCAGCAAAGCGTCCAGCAAAGCCTTCAGCAAAGCCTTCAGCAAAGCCTTCAGCAAAGCGTCCAGCAAAGCCTTCAGCAAAGCCTTCAGCAAAGCCTTCAGCAAAGCGTCCAGCAAAGCCTTCAGCAAAGCCTTCAGCAAAGCCTTCAGCAAAGCCTTCAGCAAAGCCTTCAGCAAAGCCTTCAGCAAAGCCTTCAGCAAAGCCTTCAGCAAAGCCTTCAGCAAAGCCTTCAGCAAAGCCTTCAGCAAAGCCTTCAGCAAAGCCTTCAGCAAAGCCTTCAGCAAAGCCTTCAGCAAAGCCTTCAGCAAAGCCTTCAGCAAAGCCTTCAGCAAAGCCTTCAGCAAAGCCTTCAGCAAAGCCTTCAGCAAAGCCTTCAGCAAAGCCTTCAGCAAAGCCTTCAGCAAAGCCTTCAGCAAAGCCTTCAGCAAAGCCTTCAGCAAAGCCTTCAGCAAAGCCTTCAGCAAAGCCTTCAGCAAAGCCTTCAGCAAAGCCTTCAGCAAAGCCTTCAGCAAAGCCTTCAGCAAAGCCTTCAGCAAAGCCTTCAGCAAAGCCTTCAGCAAAGCCTTCAGCAAAGCCTTCAGCAAAGCCTTCAGCAAAGCCTTCAGCAAAGCCTTCAGCAAAGCCTTCAGCAAAGCCTTCAGCAAAGCCTTCAGCAAAGCCTTCAGCAAAGCCTTCAGCAAAGCCTTCAGCAAAGCCTTCAGCAAAGCCTTCAGCAAAGCCTTCAGCAAAGCCTTCAGCAAAGCCTTCAGCAAAGCCTTCAGCAAAGCCTTCAGCAAAGCCTTCAGCAAAGCCTTCAGCAAAGCCTTCAGCAAAGCCTTCAGCAAAGCCTTCAGCAAAGCCTTCAGCAAAGCCTTCAGCAAAGCCTTCAGCAAAGCCTTCAGCAAAGCCTTCAGCAAAGCCTTCAGCAAAGCCTTCAGCAAAGCCTTCAGCAAAGCCTTCAGCAAAGCCTTCAGCAAAGCCTTCAGCAAAGCCTTCAGCAAAGCCTTCAGCAAAGCCTTCAGCAAAGCCTTCAGCAAAGCCTTCAGCAAAGCCTTCAGCAAAGCCTTCAGCAAAGCCTTCAGCAAAGCCTTCAGCAAAGCCTTCACCAAAGCCTTCACCAAAGCCTTCACCAAAGCCTTCACCAAAGCCTTCACCAAAGCCTTCACCAAAGCCTTCACCAAAGCCTTCACCAAAGCCTTCACCAAAGCCTTCACCAAAGCCTTCACCAAAGCCTTCACCAAAGCCTTCACCAAAGCCTTCACCAAAGCCTTCACCAAAGCCTTCACCAAAGCCTTCACCAAAGCCTTCACCAAAGCCTTCACCAAAGCCTTCACCAAAGCCTTCACCAAAGCCTTCACCAAAGCCTTCACCAAAGCCTTCACCAAAGCCTTCACCAAAGCCTTCACCAAAGCCTTCACCAAAGCCTTCACCAAAGCCTTCACCAAAGCCTTCACCAAAGCCTTCACCAAGCTCTTCACCAAACTCTTCACCAAACTCTTCACCAAACTCTTCACCAAACTCTTCACCAAACTCTTCACCAAACTCTTCACCAAACTCTTCACCAAACTCTTCACCAAACTCTTCACCAAACTCTTCACCAAACTCTTCACCAAACTCTTCACCAAACTCTTCACCAAACTCTTCACCAAACTCTTCACCAAACTCTTCACCAAACTCTTCACCAAACTCTTCACCAAACTCTTCACCAAACTCTTCACCAAACTCTTCACCAAACTCTTCACCAAACTCTTCACCAAACTCTTCACCAAACTCTTCACCAAACTCTTCACCAAACTCTTCACCAAACTCTTCACCAAACTCTTCACCAAACTCTTCACCAAACTCTTCACCAAACTCTTCACCAAACTCTTCACCAAACTCTTCACCAAACTCTTCACCAAACTCTTCACCAAACTCTTCACCAAACTCTTCACCAAACTCTTCACCAAACTCTTCACCAAACTCTTCACCAAACTCTTCACCAAACTCTTCACCAAACTCTTCACCAAACTCTTCACCAAACTCTTCACCAACTCTTCACCAAACTCTTCACCAAACTCTTCACCAAACTCTTCACCAAACTCTTCACCAAACTCTTCACCAAACTCTTCACCAAACTCTTCACCAAACTCTTCACCAAACTCTTCACCAAACTCTTCACCAAACTCTTCACCAAACTCTTCACCAAACTCTTCACCAAACTCTTCACCAAACTCTTCACCAAACTCTTCACCAAACTCTTCACCAAACTCTTCACCAAACTCTTCACCAAACTCTTCACCAAACTCTTCACCAAACTCTTCACCAAACTCTTCACCAAACTCTTCACCAAACTCTTCACCAAACTCTTCACCAAACTCTTCACCAAACTCTTCACCAAACTCTTCACCAAACTCTTCACCAAACTCTTCACCAAACTCTTCACCAAACTCTTCACCAAACTCTTCACCAAACTCTTCACCAAACTCTTCACCAAACTCTTCACCAAACTCTTCACCAAACTCTTCACCAAACTCTTCACCAAACTCTTCACCAAACTCTTCACCAAACTCTTCACCAAACTCTTCACCAAACTCTTCACCAAACTCTTCACCAAACTCTTCACCAAACTCTTCACCAAACTCTTCACCAAACTCTTCACCAAACTCTTCACCAAACTCTTCACCAAACTCTTCACCAAACTCTTCACCAAACTCTTCACCAAACTCTTCACCAAACTCTTCACCAAACTCTTCACCAAACTCTTCACCAAACTCTTCACCAAACTCTTCACCAAACTCTTCACCAAACTCTTCACCAAACTCTTCACCAAACTCTTCACCAAACTCTTCACCAAAGCCTTCACCAAACTCTTCACCAAACTCTTCACCAAACTCTTCACCAAACTCTTCACCAAACTCTTCACCAAACTCTTCACCAAACTCTTCACCAAACTCTTCACCAAACTCTTCACCAAACTCTTCACCAAACTCTTCACCAAACTCTTCACCAAACTCTTCACCAAACTCTTCACCAAACTCTTCACCAAACTCTTCACCAAACTCTTCACCAAACTCTTCACCAAACTCTTCACCAAACTCTTCACCAAACTCTTCACCAAACTCTTCACCAAACTCTTCACCAAACTCTTCACCAAACTCTTCACCAAACTCTTCACCAAACTCTTCACCAAACTCTTCACCAAACTCTTCACCAAACTCTTCACCAAACTCTTCACCAAACTCTTCACCAAACTCTTCACCAAACTCTTCACCAAACTCTTCACCAAACTCTTCACCAAACTCTTCACCAAACTCTTCACCAAACTCTTCACCAAACTCTTCACCAAACTCTTCACCAAACTCTTCACCAAACTCTTCACCAAACTCTTCACCAAACTCTTCACCAAACTCTTCACCAAACTCTTCACCAAACTCTTCACCAAACTCTTCACCAAAGCCTTCACCAAACTCTTCACCAGATCCAGGAAAAGTAGCAAGAACCAACTTCCTCGCCACAACAATATTAGGTTCAAATTATTCCAAGAAGTGATGTTATCATCAGCCATACATCGAAAGAAAAACGTGGTAGTAGCCCTCCGTTTTGGAATGTGTGCGGCGTCCCTTGGATTTTATCAGGAAACCCAGAAAAAGTTGAGGGATGAGTTGAAGGGGTGGAGCCCATACCATGTCAAACTCTGCCAAGAGATGAATGACCGGTTCAAGGCTCCTCAGTTATCTTTTACTAATGATCTGTTTGTTGCTGAAGGGTGTACTCTTCGTAAGGAATTTTAAGCTGAGGCTTTGAACTTCTATGATCCTGCTGTCCAACACTTGAAAGCGTAAGCCGTTGCCCCAAGCTGAGCTCCATTTGTGATTGTTTTCACTTCAGCAAGCCAGAAGACTCCGTGAAATTCATCAACGACTGCTTGAGGAAGAAAACAAATGACAAAATAGACATTCTTTTGACCAAGGACGATATTGGCGACTCCACATGTGCGCTCTCGACAGCTCACTTCAAAGCAAAGTGGAAGACGAAATTCGAGAAGAGGACAATCGAGTTTGAGGGCGTGGAAATGCCGTCCTGTATCAGAAAGCTATGTCTGTGCAATTCATGGACTGGATTTGGAAAGCGGTGAAAGTTCAAGTTGCATGGCTTCCACTGGAGAATGGCATGCACCTCGTCATTTTGACTTCACCCAGTTCAAATCAAATGAAAAAATTGGTCAAGAACTTATGTTTCGAGTTTTGGGACTTCTTTACATCTTACATGTCGCGCCACATAAAAGAAACAACAGCACAAATTTCCCTTCCAAAGTTCACTCCGGAGTACCAATTTGAGGCGAAGTGCAATCTCAAGAGGATGAATATCGAATCCGCGTTCCACTCTGATGCAGACTTCAGCACACAAAGCCGTTTTTAGTGTTGATGGAGGAGAAGCGCTCCCGAAAGATGAAAACAGTGACAATGACAATAACACCCCGTCCTTGATCTTCGACAATCCATTCCTGTTTTTCGTCGAAGATGGTTCAACCCGCAATATTCTCTTTTGTGGGTGCATGTTATCTGCGTCCTGACTAAGCACCAGTCCAACCAGAAGACCATAAAAGGAAATTTTATTGAGTAGACATGTCACGCCTCGTTTCTGACGACTAGCAATCCCAATATTGCTCCCAGTATTTCTCAAGGTTACGCCTGTTGAATTTGATTGGTTCTTCAATGTAATCCATTACGAAAATAAAACATTTAGAATCAAGATCCCAAATCTCGATCAAATATTTAGCAAGCAACTTTCTCAAATCAGGCTGAGCAATACGCCATCGATTGATGATTGTGTCTACGTGAAAACCAATTCTATTGATTAAGGAGGTACTATTGTTTGTTGCATAAGGGCGTTTTTCTCATTCAATAGTTACCAAATTAGCACGATGATGCTTTGCATCATCAAGCATCATTGAGAACTATGGAGTAATAAAACATATACAACATCTCAAGACATTGGTTAATCTGTACTCAAATCTATTAGAGCTAACACAAACCTCTTTAAGTTGGAGATGTTTCAATAGAAACCTTAGGGACTCTATTCTATCGGAATTTGGTGAACATAGAATAAAGGATTGCTTCATTCTATAAGCACTTCGTGATTGCAACATGTAATTGTTGCGACGAATCGCTTAACTTGCACAACATATTGAGATAAATCAACAATTACACTGAGTGAGATTTATCAACAACACTGAGTGACATTTATCAACAACACTGAGTGACATTTATCAACAATTTACACTGGGTGAGATTTATCAACAATTTACACTGAGTGAGATAAATCAACAATTACACTGAGTGAGATAAATCAACAATTACACTGAGTGAGATAAATCAACAATTACACTGAGTGAGATAAATCAACAATTACACTGAGTGAGATAAATCAACAATTACACTGAGATGAATCAACAATTTACACTGAGTGAGATTTATCAACAATTACACTGAGTGAGATTTATCAACAATTACACTGAGTGAGATTTATCAACAATTAACACTGAGTGAGATTTATCAACAATTTACACTGAGTGAGACAATTACACTGAGATGAATCAACAATTACATTGAGTGAGATTTATCAACAATTTACACTGGGTGAGATTTATCAACAATTTACACTGGGTGAGATTTATCAACAATTTAAACTGAGTGAGATCAATCATCAATTTACAGTGAGTTAGATAAATCAACAATTACACTGAGATGAATCAACAATTTACACTGAGTGAGATTTATGGGCTTACTGTCCTTTTTCCTTTTGTTTGCTTTTCCCGTTCGTGTGGTTGTTTTTTTTACGAGAACTGCAATGGACATGCAAGCGATTGACGAGATAATTGGGGGAGAATCCCGGGCATGCCTACAGCAGCTGCCCACAATTGAAGAGCCGGCAACACCCAGCGGATCCGGGGTTGCCAACCAACAAGGCTTCTCAGGTCACAGATATGGAGTAAATTAACTAGAGTATCAAGTTTTGCTAATAACCACTGAACAATAACACATATCAACATAAAAAGACACTTGGTTAAACTGCCTTCAGTACCAGAAACTTACTTTAAGATACTCCGAACGTTATTGTGAATATAGGTTACGGTGTTTCCTTTGGCTACATTCACTAAGCAATTATAAATTGTGCTACTTCAAGATGTAATGCAACGTTGAACAATGCAACTGTTGCGACGAATTGCAGGTCAGAGAATAAGCTCTGCGACTTCCTTAGTGTTTTGTAACGAACCTTTTACCTTTCTATCTTTACGCAGAGATAATTTAAGTCAATATTCATCTAATCACAGATCTAACGGCAGACAACGTTGAGGGTTCCTCTGTCGCATTCCACAGAAGAGACGACCTTAGAGACATCCCCCGATCTCTACTTCCTTGGTTTATATGGAGCAGAAAAAACGCATCAAGAGGTCCTTCGAGTGTTGGATCCTACTCGTGTCCAATCAATCGTCGGGGATAATGCGTTGAGAATGACGCCGGAGCTTTTCTTGAGAGTGCTAACGAGTCCGCTGCAGCATCCGATTCCGACTGAATTCAATCTGGGGACAGCTGACTTCGTTCTTACAGGGCTTCCGCGTGGTATTCTGTTCACGTTGTGCACAATGGTCAAGCAAGCTGCATTGCCCCTCAGCAGTCGTCCTACGGAAGCGTTGGGTATTCCACAATTCAATGATTGTTTGCAGCGGCCCATTGATATTCTTCTCAAGGAGATTCTAGGAATTCGTGTCGATCAACGGCGAGACGCAAGAGGACTTCAACTTGGTGTCGGCGTCCGCAGACCAGATGTGGCAATGTTCCTCGAAGAAATCCCTATCTTCCGCGCAGAAGAGAAACGCCTCGCCCTTCATGAGCACTTAGCAAGAAACCAATTACAAGGAGCCCAACCTGCACACCAACAGTTCCCCATTCTCATGTGTACACGTGCCCATACCTTGATTCGTTTTTATTGGTATGACGTCAACGAGCCATTGGTAGAGCTCACTGATTCGGCCCAATGCCAATTTTCCAAGATTCGATTTAAAGTTTCCCATGGAACGCCTTGCACTGCTCCCAGTTCTTGTCAACTTTTGTGTTTACATCCACAGCTGCCTGATTCCTCAGTTGATACTGGAATTTCAAGAAATTCAAATGAATCCGCTGGTTCGAGGGTTCGAGTTCACTATCCAAGGAGATCGTGTTTGGAAGGAGTGCACACGATGGAGACCAACAGCAGCAGCATCTACAATGCTCTTTGTGATGATACAAGCGGGCATCATTTGATGGTCTACTCGGTAGTTCGATCAGGACACCTCCTTGTGGAAATGGAACGTTTAGAATTGCCGGGCATTCCAATGGCCCCAGATGAATTTATTTCTTGGGCTAGTTTTTGTTTGAGGACATTAGATTTTCTTCATCAAAGAGGATGGGTACACCGGGACGTACGTCGAAGAATGGAAGAAAAAAGTTCTTTCTAATAGATTTTGACTGTGCTTCGCAAGCCAGTGCCGAAGTAGAGACTCCGTTAGCAACCTGGCCTATGAGCATGAGAAGGCTTACTACTTTTGAAATTCGCCATGATATTGAGTTGCTCAAACTGATGATCCTGTCCCAGTTTTATCATTCAGATGTATGGCGCTATTCATGAACGGCAATAACAATGCCGTTCCGTTGCTACAGTGTGATACTTTGGATCAGATTGATGCGCTTCTAAGTGAATGTGAAGCATTAATAATACCAACGCATCATTAGCAATATTTGTAGGTTTTGGATTCTAGAACCTTCAATTATTTGCAACATTTCGGAGAACTCGCGCCTAAACGACTCAATTTTCACAATGAATAGAAATTTTTATATGACGCAGGGGATTGTCTGGATTTTCAACTTTGCTGTCCACGCAAATGCCACGGATTCAGCTGGTGGATTAAAGTCATTTAATCTCGTCAGGACGAACAGTCGATTCACTTTTTCGCGTCACCTTCATTTTTGAGCTTCGGACAGCTCAGCTGGATCAACATCCCTGTCCTGTTTGTCGAGAAGACGAGAATTGCTTCCACAGGTCACTTTCAGATCGCCATAACTGCTATTTGTAGAGCACCACCAATACTAAACACCATGCAGCCTGAAGATCCGTCCATTGATTGTTGAAGATGTTGTTAGCCTCCGGTTCATGATTGATGTAAATCACTTCGTTGCAGTCATCCACAGTAACTCTTTCAGAGCCTCGTATCTCTCATATGGTTCATTTTTGCCATCCATGAGATACATCAAAGACAGTTGAATGGTAAGGTACAGCAGTTCTGCTGCTCTCGAGAATCTGCCCCCTTGATGACCTTGCGAACGCCATCTTGTGTGCTATTTTGAGACCATTCCCGAAGCTTGGCTAATTTCGATCCAACTGCCCTGTGACGTGCGACAATATGACCGTTGACGTTGAGAACATCAAGAAGCGGGACACCCAGGGACGACTTATGCGAGCGGCGGTATGTCCCCTTGTTTAAATCGGATCTTCTTCAGCAACTAGTTGGAACATTAATTGTCTTTTTCAAGAGCAAGAGCAAGTCAACCCGGCGAACGAGCAAGAGGAGATATCAGTATGAATTGTGCGGCAAGCGTTTGAATTCCGCCTTCATAAAGCGTGGCTGCACGAAATGGAGTTGGAGATCTTGATTTGGATTCCTCACTAACATTCGATGAACAATTCGTTATATTTCTGTCTTTTGTGTGATGGAGAATGCAAACCAGATTAGGTCATCAAGCACACCATGCAATCGCCCGAACTTATAATCATTTTCACTCGTGGCGTTATTTGCAAGCGTCAGTGGCAATCCAACGCTCAGGCACCGAGAACTGTTGGACTATTGAGACTCTCTTCCAGTTCCTTTTAACTCTCCTTTCAATCCTCTCTACGACCATCGGCAGTATGGCCGAAGGGATTCACAAATCCCGTTGTTGCCGTTCCATGGATTTCTATCATTGATTCGGATTTCTTTGTCAAAGTTTGTATCGCCCGCGCGTAGGCTTTCCATCGCCCGCAACTGGTTCCGCTTTCCCAAGTCCGTCAGCTCGACCTTCTGATCAGCGAGTTCTGGGAGGGGCTCTAAACTGTTCGGTCTCCGAGATGCGAATCTTCCAGGCGAACGGATTCCGCTGGAAGGCGAAAATTATGATAATGCAGTGGGACGAAACGTGGAGCTGGAAAAGGATGCGAAAATGCAGGTGGAGTTTGAATATTTAGGCCAGTGCTTCCCATACTGACTCCAGGAATAACAACGGGATCGTAGATATCCCATTGATTCGGCAAGGATTTCAATGAAGTACTTCATCTGTGTCGGTTCACGCTCTGGAAAACATTAGAATGTGAAGGAACGATGAATACCACCAGACCGAATTGGCGCTCGGAATTGAAGGTTTAGCATCGCCCTCACTGATTGCTTGCGATATTGAATCCCCTGCCTGCTGAGCGTATTGGGAGGGAACGGACTTCGATCACAGCGAACGGAAAAGGATTTCGAGGTGGATTTGAACCACAGTGGAGGGCGCTGCATCAATA